CTCAGAGTTCCAGAGATCAGGATATAACGTGTCAGGATTCCAGCACCAAGTAAAGGTCTCCCAATTGCTAGTTCCTTTCCCTTCCCTGGGGTGATGCCCAGCCGTGTAATGATTCCAAAGTGTGGTTTGAATGAATGCCACTGTGGCCTCCTTTGAGGTGCATTCATTCACTAAACCGTCCTTGAGTGCCTGGCACTGTGCTAGGCATCGTGGATACAGCTGTGAATGAGACAGATGTGGAGCCTGCCCCTGTGGCCTGACAACATGGCAGCCTGGCCTTTGCTGACGTTTTTTTTTTTTTGTCCTTTTTCGTGACCGGCAACGGATCGCAACCCTCATTGTCGCACCCATACCGGACCGGGACCGGCAACGGGATCGCAACCCTCGGTGTTGCTCCCGCACCTCGCTCAGCCAGTGTTTGCTGACGTTTTTGGTGCATCAGCTGCAATGGCAGAAAGGCTGCCTCCTCATCCTCCCGTCTAGCCTATGGCAGGAGAAACTGGGTCTGGCTCCACAGCTGTGCTTGGTTCCTCCAGGGGAAAGGATTGAACTGCTGGTGTATTACTCTGTTTCTGCTGCTTATAATAAAATACCTGAAACTGGGTACTTTACAAAGAAATAAAATGTATTGCTTATAGTTTCAGAGGCCGGGAAGTCCAAAGTCCAAGGAAGAAACACCGCTGGTGAGGGCCTTGTTCTTGGTGGTAACTATAGCAACACAGGGTGTCACATGGCAAAATGGCAGAAGCAGACAGATAGAGACTAATCTCACTCACTCTCCTTTTAAAGCCCTCAAACCACACCCATGACCACCACTAAACTATCAATGGATTAATCCATTCACTGCAGTCCAGTCCTACAATCTAATCACCTCGTCAAGGCCCCACCTTTCAATTACCATAATAGGATTTCCCACTCTCTTAACAGTCACAGTGGGGGTTACATTTCTAATACCTGGAACTTTGGGGGACACAATTCAATAAAAAAAAAAAAAAAAGGAGCTTGTGACCAGAAGTTTTGTTCTGGTGGCACCTCCTGCATTGGGGGTTCAGAAGCAGGGGGTGGTGGGTTATGCCTGTGCCCTGTCATGGCCTGGCCTCCCAGGGATTAGTGGGTTCTGCTGGCATGGACCAGGACATGCCAATAGCAAGTCCTCTGTTGGCCCACGTGCCATAGCCAGAACCCAGCAGCGCTTCTCCCAAACACATGGCTACCACAGAAGGATGGAAAGCAGCGATGCCTGGCACCCTAAGGACCTCCACAGCTTTCGACTGCGCCCTGGAGGGAAGCTAGACTTATGGCATGTTTGCGTAAGTTTTGACCCCAGGGGCATTTGTAGGTAACCAGAAAACCAAACCAATGGATTTCACTTACTTTTTAAAAAATTCACCTCTCATCACATTTCACCTCTTTTCTTGCCCTATCTCTGGGTCTCCCCCCATCTCTTACCCCGTCTCCAACCCTACCCTCCAAGGGCTCTAGGATGGGGTGACAGGCAGAGTACCTGTCATACACAGCACTAGATAATAAAACACCTTTTGGCATGTGGCCACCTGGGAGCACAAATCCAAATGTCCCTATGTTAAAGTGGCCGGATGGAAACCTGAGCTTAATCCAAAATCTGACTTGTGCCTGTGTCACTGGGGTGTTCGCTGTATGCCTGCAGCTGATGTCATCTATCAATACTCTCAGTCTCCAGATTCTTTCTGGCATCCTCCTTCCCAGCTTCCTAATCACTTATGAGACCAGATGGCAAAACAAATGGTGACTTATTTTACAGCGACATAAGGAATCATAATCCTTCTTCCTTTCTGGAACTAAGGCTTTAAGTATTTTTTTCAGCATTTATTTTCTCACACATGATCTATAAAGAGGGCATCAGCCTGTGCTTTGAAGTGGACACAGAGCATCTCCTTTAATCCTCACTGTGCACTCTGTAGTAGGTATGACTGGCCCGACTAGAGATGGGGAGGCTCAGGCCAGTTGAGGTCACACAGCTGGGGTTCCCACCCATGCCTGTCGTCTCCAGCATGTTGGCTCTTTCCAAGTGTTGTGTTGCTGTCGGGCTCTTTAACTAGAAGATGATGCAGGTGAGAAATATCTTGCACGTAGCTGTACAGGGCATGAGGCCAGACTTTGGTCTTTGCTTGATGCAAGATCTGGGGTCTTGCTTGTCTAGATCCCACAGAGAAAAGATTTCCAGATAGGTCCGAGATCCCCCAGTGGAATGAAGAAAGAAGAAAGAGGATGTTTTATAAGGCCTTTGAGGGAGGAAGTAACACTGTGACTGTAGATCTAGCTGCCTAAGTTCAATTCCTGGCTCCACCACTTGCTAGCTTAGCTTTGTGACTTCAATCACTGCCTTTTGGGGCCTCAGCTGCCTCATCTATAAAATGGGGATAATAAGTCTTCACCTTGTAGGATTGGCATGAAGATTAAATGTGATTACACAAGAGCTTAGAACGATGCTTGGCACACAGCACTCAAAATGTGTTAAGCTCTGTGGGTCTGCTGGAGGCTGTGCTGTTCATAATACTAGCAGCAATGCTAACAGCAATAAGAATACATGTGCTGTAAGAGAGAGAAGCCCAGGACACGGCAGAGCCTCAAGGGAGGGGGTTCCTAATGATTGGGGCCAGGGTGGGGCTGGGTCATCAGAGACAGGGCTTTGGAGGAAGTGAGGTATGGGGAAGGTCCGAAAGCCCCGTAGGAGCTGCAGGAGGAGGCGAGTGGCAGATCGAGGGAAACTTTGGGGCAGAGGACTCAAGCCAGTGCAGATCCTTCAGGTGCAAGAAAACGCACCACTTGTGAAGAACCCCCAGGAGTCCCACGTGCCCGCCAGGCAGCCCTTTGTGGGATGGGGTTGCAGGGGGGTGGGCAGGGGCCATGCATGCAGGCCTCACAGGAGCCAGTGGAGACTTCAGCATTTAAATCAAAGGAACAGTGGAGTCAAAGCTGTGATTAGAGGGACCGCTCTGGTCTCAAGGAGACCCAGATGTGGAGCCCAGAAACCAGGGGACCATCAGCAGCAGTTCAGGCTGGAGGTGATGTGGTCTGTGCCAAGGTGGCCAGGCTGCAGGGGCAGATGCCCGGTATGTGGCAGGGCTCCTGGAAGACAGCAGTGCCTTCATCCCCCCAAGAGAGACAACTCACTTTCAGGCATTTTGAGTTGGAGGCTCCTGTGGGACATTCCAGGGGCAGTGACCAATAGGAAAATGAGAAATGCTTCTCGCCTCCCCTGTGAATCCTCCCTTCCTCAAAGTCCTCACTATGACATGGCCATCCACGTGCCCCTGCGAGGTCTGGGAAAGAGCATTCCTCAAAGAAGGCACAGGAAGCTCAAGTGTCCTGGGAGGAAGGAAGGAAGGGAGCTGAGGGGGAAGGAGGGAGGGAACAAGAGGGCCATTTCGTAGAGG